AAACATCCATAGCATATGCATACTCTTTTCTTATTCATTTAAATATTTTATCGTGCTGGCCCCATGACAGAAGCTAAAGATATTCAAGGACAAAATAGATCCAGCCTAATCTAGAAGGCAGATAAGCAAATGAAAATATCACTTTTTTCCCTTAAATTTCATTTTGCTGTTGAGGATATATGTATACATACACAACATATATACATGTATATATACACACACAGAACATGCACCAACTTGACAATTTTTACATGTATAATTTAGGGACATTGATTACATTCTTTGAATTACACAGTCATTCTCATACTGCATTGTCCTCTCAACATAAACTATTTGATTCCTAAGATTCCAATATAACCTTTCAAGTTGCTATCGTCAATTGGATTCCATAGTTTGATCCCGTACTGTTCTTGTGTTAGGCGCCGTCACGTCACTTCCAATCCAGTGACCCCGTGCACAAGAGAAGCAAACACTGCGCGGTCCTGTGCCAGCCTCACAATTGTTCCCATGCCTGAGCCCCTTGATGCAGCCACTGTGCCAATCCAGCTCCCTGAGCCCCTTCCTCTTTTACACTGCCCCTCCACTTTATCAAACATGATGTCCTTCTCTAGGGACCAGTCTCTCCTGACATGTCCAAAGTACATAAGACAAAGTTTTGCGATTATTGCCTCTAAAGAGCACTCTGACCTTACTTCTTCCAACACAGATTGGTGTGTCCTTTTGGCAGTCCATGGTACTTTCAATATTCTTCTCCAGCACAATTCAAATGCATCCATTCTTCTATGGGCTTCCTTATTCAGTGTCCAACTTTCACATGCATATGATACGAATGGAGAACTGCATGGCTTGGGACAGACACACCTTAGTCCTCAAAATTACATCCTTGTTCCTCAATCCTCTAAAGAGGTCGTGGGTAGCAGTTTTACCTAATGCAATATGTTTTTTGATCTCTTTATGCTGCTGATCCTATATTAGCAGATTTTAAGAGCCTAATGCTCAAAGTAGGCCTATCTTACTAGGTAAGTTAAACTATTATTCAGTTCTAAGATGACTTCAGGAGATATTTTTGGTTTAAGGCTTAACAATTTTCTTAGGGCAATAGTTTCAGAGGTTCCTTTACCCTCCATGGTTGCAGCAAGTCTACAGAACCTATGATAATTTAAAATTCTGTTAGGAATTTCCTTTCAATTAAGATTCTTCTATTAAATATTGGATCAAAATGTTCAGTAATGGTAGCCAAGTACCATCCAGTTCTAGTTTCATGACAAATGAGGTAATTAGATACAAATTCCATATCCTTTTCCTACTACTGCCTCTCTTTCTCTGCTCTCCAGGTGAATAGAGACCAATTATTTTGCCTTGAACAGCAGCTTGCAAGCTTTTAAGACCCCAAGCACTACACAGTAGAGTAGGAGTTAGAACAGCAGCCCTACGCACTATATTAGTCCGATAAACTAGGACGTGTCAAACATGACTAGATGACAGTGACCTTTTTGTTTATTGGGTCATGAAACCCCAGCCCTCCAAACCCAGCCCTGAAATCCCACGTTTGCTATACATCAGCAGCCTCAGCAGCTATTCTGTTCTGTCATAAAAGTTACACTTTTGCCACAACTTTTTCCAGGTGTACAACTCATTGACAGCAATTATAATTATCAGTCATGCAGCCATACCCTTAATCAATGCAAATTTGTCCATCTCCCACAGCTACCTACTAGACTCCTGACTTACAGTGGACCTGCAGGGCAAGGTAGAACTGGTCCCTAGGTTTTCTGAGACTGGAAAGGTGTGCATCAGGGTTGTCTTCTATACTTATTCTACCTCTATGCTGAATGCAGAATATGGATCAGAATATCACTAACAACCAGCTGTATGGATATGACATGATTTTGCTTGCTAAGCTGATGGATGACTTATTTTTGAAGATCAAAGACTAGAACCATCAGTATGGCTTACAACTTAATGTAAAGAATACCAAAATTATCACAATTGTATCAAGAAGCAACAGCATGATAAATGGAGAAAAGACTGAAACTGTCCAAGATTTGTTCTTGCTTGGCCCACACCAACATCCATGGAAACAGTAGTCAAAAAAAAAACAACAAACCAAACAATATAGTGCATTGGGCAAATGTACTGCTCAAGAATTCTTTAAAGTGTTCAAAAGTAAATGTGTCCCTTGGAGGATGAAGCTACCTGATTCAGGCCATGGTATTTTCAATCACCTGCTATGCATGTGAAAGCTGGATAATAGGTAAGGAAAATCAAAGAATCAATGCCTTGATGGTCAAGAACACTGGATATGAAGAACATTGAATACGAAGAATATCAAGATGCCTTGATGGTGAAGAATATTGAATGTAGCACAGACGACCAGAAAAACAATTGAAAGAAGTATAGATACAAAGCTCCTTAGAAGCATTTAGTAAACTTTGGAGCCAGTCCTTAGAAAAGGTCACCAGGCTAGATAAAATTGAAGTGCAAGAAAAACATAGTGCCAGGCAGTGTTTCATTCTGTTTAACCTGAGGCTGTTAGGAGCTGCAAATGACTCAGTGGTATCTAATAACAACATACATTTCTATTTGTTGCAACACTAATGGTTGACTGTCCAGTTATTCTAGCACAATTCCTCCACTGAACTGTTCATGCAGGCTTACCAGAATTTAGCTTGTCATACTGGTATGGGTCTATTGCTCTACCACTCTGTCAAACCACAAAATTAATCAGTGCCAATACTACACTGCCCTCATTTCCCAGAATTACAGTTAAAAAGCCTGCTGCTGTGCAGTTGATAGAGACCTCAGGTGACAGATAACTGCCCCATAATATTTCTTAGGCTGTAACCTTCTTGGGAACAGGCAGCCTCCTCTTTCTCCTCAGTGGCTGGTGAATTTGAACCACTGAACTTGCAGTTAGTTTTCCAATGGGTAACCTGTTACATCCTTACAATCCTATGTTACTATGAAATATTCTGAGAGTTAAATGAACTATGTACAAAACATGATTTAAAAATTTGCCTTATGCCCACAGCATTCTGAAGCACCTGTCTTCCATTCTACTTTTGTTTTTATATCTTCTTCCGCCCCCAATATGTATTTATTTTTTTTACCTGTTATCTTGCAATGCGAGGTACTGAGCTCCAACAACATATTGTTTCTTGTTTGTAGTTATCTGCTTGTTTTAATGTTTTCTTGACATATAAATTTTGCATATTAAAAAAAGTTTAAAAGTGTCAAGAATCATGACAAAGGCAACAAAATCAAAAACAGTCGCTTAAACAATGAGTTTATTTTCTTCATGTATAAAGTCCAGGGTCGGTAATAATGTTCATTTCGGTTGAGGTGTTCAACAATGTCTTTAGGGACCAACCAATAACTGGCTGCTGTGGAGTTGGTGTCAATGCAAGGCAGTCTCGTGTGTGTCAAGAGCAGAGCAGTGTTCCATAGGGCTCTCAATGGCTGGTTTTTTGCAATTAGATCACATACAGGCTACTCTTTATTATTTAAAATGTAGCTCTCATTTTTTAGGTCACTGCATGGTTTAAAGACGGCTGTTGTGCCTCTAAGTAACTTGTTGGCATTCATTGCCAGGAGAGAGAAACACGCGCACACACACACAGAGTTTTGACTCTTCAAGTCAGCCCCATCTAGTCCCTGATGAGAGGAGGGCAGAGGGAAGGGGAGGGGAATAATAGGGGCACTATTTTCTTTCTATGTTTTTATAATGTGAAATAGCTGATTGTGTTGAAGATGTGGGTTAATTTCATGTGTAGAATGATCGCATCTTTGTAAGAAAGGTGAGCTGAGAATTATTTTCTAAGAAGAGTTATTTCACTCAATGCATTGAATAAGATGAAGCATGTAATAAAAAAAACTTGAGAATAATTTACCAATAGTAAGAATTCAAAATGCTAAATGAATCTAATAATGACAATAGTTTTTTTCCAAACAATTTCTAGGCTGTTAATTTCTACGTTATCCCTACTTGCCAAAATGCAGTGTCAAATTTGCATAAGTTTTTGTTTATTGCTGGTTAAGAAAAGTATTAACTACAAATGCTTATTTACAATACATTTGTCCTGAATAGACAACTGGCTATTGTAAAAACTAACTTATGTCTGATTAAAGTCAGTTTAACTCTAATGTCCTTTAAATTCTATTGAAATATGCAAAAGATTGCTGAAGATAGTATTTAAAACTAAACTAAATTAAAACACATACAAACCAGATCAAATGCCATTGAACTGATTCCAACTCTCAGTGACTCTAGAGGGCAGAGTAGAACTGTTTCCTAGGGTTTCTGCGGCTGTCAGTCTTAACAGGAGCGGCCTCGTCTCTCTCCCCTGGAGTGGCCAGGGGACTAGAATTGCTCATTTTGTGGTGAGCACCCCACTGCTTGAGCTACCATGCTACCATGCTCCTAGTAGTAGTATAATAAATATTTGGTAAATATTTAGTATGAAAGAGGAAAAAAAAATTTTTTTTTAATTCTAATTATATAAGGAGATGATGTGATATGAGAATAATTTTCTGTCAACAAAGTTTTTACTTTTTCCACAACTACAAAAGAACCAACTAAGCCACAGCTAACTATTTAATACCTAGTTACCTATTTAATACCTACAATTTCTACATAAACTTCTTCAAAATTTATAGTTTAAAGGTCTAATAAATAAGTACCTTACTGGTAAAAATCTCAATTATGCCCAATGAGAAAACAAAAATTTTTTAAATAGTTGAATTTTTAGGATAATGACATATTTTAAGCAAGATTTATCAGATGAATATTATAGAAGACAAAATAATCCAAATAGTCAATTATCATGCTGAGCAAAGCCAACTGAATACCATAAACAGAGTCAAAATAATTTGTCAGCAGTAATTTGATTCTATCGGCTAGGTATGCTAGGTATTTCCTATCGCCAGCTAAGTAGAAATTGAAGTATAAAATAATACACTAACTTTTTGTATAGCAAAAAAGAATCTACAGTCCTCATATGTAAGTTTAATAAATCACCATGGTTTATTTAACAAGGTTACTTGTCCATCAGATGTGGTCTAAAAGCAGTTATATATGTATTTATAAGTTGATATGAAGAAAATGATATACAATCATTAAGAGTCGTCTTAAATTGCTCTTTTGTGTATTTTCTCCACCTTTTTGCTTAGTAAAAAAAGGCATTTTTAGGTTGATATAAACACATTCTTTACAACTGCCTCTTAACAGAACATGAGTATAAATAGCACTGGGCATTTTGTCACTACGTCACAGGCCAGTTGTGCAGTTGTGCAATCCGGGGCACAGCGTTCTTGAGACCTCAAGACTGGGTGATCTGCAGGGTTTCCAACATGTCCTCAACGGCCTTCAGAGAGTATTTGGTTTCTTTCTTACTTCGACCTGCAAACTAATTAAAAGAGGGAAAAAGAAAATAAAACCTGCAGTTAGGCTCAATTTCAATGGTAGGCTCAAAACCACAATTTCACATTCATACTGTTAGAGAGACTTACTATTAACTATTATATCACTAGCATGAAATCACTTTTCTTTTGTTTACTATTCAGTAAGAACAAAATTGAGTTTGTTTTCTGAGATCTTCATTAAGGTTTCATCTTCTATTGAAGTGGAGAAAGATTTCACTGCACACTTGGCCAATTTAAACGTTTCAGTGCTAAAATAATCTATAAGAACACAGATTTCATTGTACAACTAGTTTCTTTAAACTTGAAAACTTAAGAAATAAAAGCATAATCATAAATGAAACAAAGCTTGTGTTTGGTCTTTAGACAGATAAAGGTACGATAATTATATTGTTCATAAATTGTAAAAGTTAAAGCAAGTAACTTTTTTAGAATTTAATTTTCATGGTTTATTACTTATGTACTGAATACTGTATTTCTACAGCACAAAGCTGGTGCACATTAAATTATTTTCCTCTACAGGAAAGCCTATCTAGGTTATTAAAGTGTAACTAACTTTATCAAACCAGATTGGATTGGATTTTCCAACAAAAGCAGGAAATAAGAGGGGCCACAAAAGTTATGTTGAAAAAATCTTTCTACTTCATTTTCCATAAACTTTTTGAACCCCCTTCACATAATCTTTGTATGTTTAAAAACAAATTCATGGCATTGTAGTTTAAAATAATGCACATAATCTGTGGGGCAAATGATGTTGATGACCCCATGCTGATTCCAAAATGAGTTTTTCAACTTGACTGACAATTCCCTTCACTTAACAGTTGGATTTAATACAACAGACTTACTAGGTCAGTAAACTGTTCCTTGTGAGAGTAGGAGAAGGAACTTATATTAATTGTTATCCTTATTTTAAAATGCTGATTAACATTTGTTAATAGCAATGTATAGGATTTCCAAGTTAACATCTAACCATTCAACACTCTCAAGTGGCTGATGGTCCCTTCCAATACCAATGCTGTCTAAAGTACTTAGTTCTTGATTCGTGATATGTTCCTTCTCTTTTGTAATTAACTCAATTCGGCAAACTTCTCATGACCTGTTGAGAAAGATTAAGTGATCAAGCACAGGTAACATCATAGAAGCAATAGGCTTTAGGGACTTGTAACCTGCCTCTGACCCCTCTGGTCACAGCTTAACATTGTGAGTCCCCTACTTCCTAAACCATTAGCTTCTGTTGTTGATTCTTGATTTGTCACAATAAATAAAGGAGGTTTCTAGGGGAAATGCCAAGGAAAGGACAAAACCTCTTATAAGGAATCAAGGTTATTTTGCCTTTCTGAAGCATTACTAACCTAAGGGATTTAACTGTTTGATATGTAAGTCATAATTACAACACATGGTGGTAACAGCAATACCACATTTAAAATGTTGTTCATAGTTTCCCTTAGGAAGTAAAGGATGTGGGGTGCACATATTATTATCCAGTTGATAAATTCACTTCCTCAAGGTTACAACAAGAACAGAAAGTCTTTTCTTTTACACTGCCTACCCAAAATAACAAAAATGGTCCAAATGGAATACTTAAAAGGTGTAATTCTTATACGGGAAACCCTAGAGGGGCCCAGCATCCCCTACTATACAGGCATGCCCAGCAAAGGGTCACATCATTCATTGTACCCCCATGTCCCAGAGGGACTCCCCTTGAGCTGAGCCCCAAAGCCCCAGGACTAGCTGGGGTTGGGGACGTAGGTGTAATTCTAAGAAAAGCTTGGTGGGCTAGGGGAAGGAATACAAAACAGGATACCAGAGAGTAATGTTTACTCTAATTTCTTAGACTAAAAAAATATCCTTTGGAATAAATAAATAAATAAATATATATATATATATATATATAGAGAGAGAGAGAGAGAGAGAGAGAAGCATTTTGTGTTGTACTTAACACAATAGCAGTAATAGCAAGCATGTAATTTTTTTTTAAATAACTAATTTTTTTTAAATCACCTATGACTGTGTCAATACTATTGACAAGCAGCGTGATTTAGGATAAACCAGACAAATTTATTGGTGTCAGAACAAATAAAATGAAAGCTGGAAATATAAATCTATCACTTTAAATTTTGGCTGACATGCAATTATTTTGTCTATTCCAGAATTATACGGCTATTTAACTGATTAAGCTGGAATCTTATATTTTCCCTCAAATCATGATTTAATTTTCTATTTCCCAAATGAATAGTAACCGAATCACCTCTACACTCATAAATAGCATATGGACCACTAGAGTCAAAGAATTGAAGTATACCAAAGAAGCATTTATCTGGAAAATTATTGAGTAGGTTCACATTAAAGTTTTTCATGAGCATTAATCAAACTTGCCTGCCTTTACTTAACATGCTAAACCAATTTACCTAACTGAAGAATAAGTAGTGGTCATATTCAGTTTCATTATTAAGTGGAAAGAAAAGAAAAGCAGTTCTTTAAACTTCATTTTCTCTAATTTATAAATACCTATAAAAACATTACAAAAAGGAATATGTATTATATACTTTATACTAGTTTATATGCCTAGATATGAGTCATGAAATTCTCAATTAGGTCTCAGACTTAACAAATTACTGTAATATAAATTTCTGAAAGTTCTACTTTTCTACACTTTTCATAAACTCTGGATTAATTCCCCACTCAGTCAGGTACAGCTCAAGTACACAATTCTTTCTCTGGTATATAAAAAAGAAACCACACCGGAAATAACACAGAAATACTCAACTTATGAAAGCCTGCCTATTAATTTTAGAGGTCAATGATTCAGACACCATGTAAACAAGCATAAAGTGGACTAAAATACTGTTTTACAGTATGTGGAAAGTACGATATGGAGGAAGTCAGAAAGTATTGCTAGAGGGTTGCAGTTCACACATACTCAGATTTACTCCAAGCAAAACGTGTTTGGACATGTCTTTGTGATCAGAAGACAGCTGCAGACAATTTCTCTGAGAAATAGGAGGGGGTACCGCTCCAAACCTCAGATTTTTATTTAAAGTTATGTATTTAATTTTTTTTTTACAAAACAATCTTATACCTTCAAAGTACTCTCCATTACACTTAATACATTTGTCAAATCTGCGAGTCCTCCATTCTTAAGAGACATTTTTCAAACTCATCTGATGGACGGCTGACAGCACCTCCCTCCTTTTTTCTTCCCCTCGTCTACATCATCAACTCACTGTTCTTTCATGTCCCTCTTCATTCACAGAAACAAAAAGAAGTCGCACGGAGAGCGGTCCTGTGAGAAAGGTGCATGGGGCAAGATAGGCATGCTGTTTTTTGCCAAACTCTGGCGCACTGAGATGGTCGTGGTGGCCAAGCCAGTTCCCCCATCTCCCACAAATCAGGCCTTTTCTGTTGCGCCCTGCTAGGCAATCTTTTCAAGACCTCTAAATAGAAAGCTTGACTAATAAGTCTGACCTGGTGGAATGAACTCCAAATGCACTATGCCCTTCACATAAAAAAGAAACCCAACAGTGAGCATTACACAATGTTTTGGGGGATACCCCCTTCGTATACGTAGTCTCCTTAGGGTAACTTAAGAAAAAAGTTCCAATTAAAACAATGGCTTCTGAAGGGATCTGCTGGGCCAGTTAAACTCAAGCAAAGAGGTCAGCTGTGTTTTTTTTAGAATTCCAAAGGAGTAGCAAGACTTAGAACTGTCTCTGGGTTTCCAACACTGTCCCTCTTTACTGGAGTAGCCTTGTCTTTTTCTCATGGGTCAGCGGGTGGTTTCAAACTGTTGATCTTTCAGTTAACAGTCCAATGTGAAACCACTTAAATCATCAGGGCTCCTTTGTATATTTAATACACATGCATTTAAAAACAAGAAACAAAGGTAGGAATACTACTGCAGTTATAAAAGAAATATAATAAATTGCCAAATGTCCATAAATGTTTCCTTTCCCTTTGAGAGGTGAAGTCTTGCATCTGTTGAATCTGGGTTGATCATATGACTTTTTCCCAAGGAGTATTTAGCAAGATGTAACATAACCAGGGGTAAGAAACACAGAGAAACAAGTGAGTCCAACTGGGAAACAGAATGACTGTACTGCAGCCAAGCCAAATAAATTATCAAGCTTGTATAGAATCATAAGCAACTGCTGTTGCTGTTAGCTACCACAGAGGCGGCTCTGACCAATAACAACCAGCCCTATGCCCAACATAATGAGACATTGCCCAGTACGGTGTCATCCTCACACTCGTGTTTTATGCTTCAGCCCACTACGATAGAAACTAAAGGAACTATGTTATTTTAAATAACTAAGTTGGCAAAAGCTAATGGGTAAAATTCTTATAGAATCTGCTTCACAGATAAGAGATGCAGAAACTATAAAAAACAAAACAAAGCATGAAGTGTGAAAGTTAAAATGCACTAACAAGCATTTTTATTTAAAATCTGTTACCAGCATCTAGAGGCAAAAATGAATGAGTGATTCCCAACTGACCAACACTAAAGCTCACATGACCACCTGAGAAATGTGTTAGCTTTCTGCAGTGGCACGCAAGACGACACAGAAACTGTCAAGAAAAAGTCCTGATTTTTTCCATTACAATGGAGTAAAGAAAGGCCAATCATATCTACAGTAAAGGTGTACCAAACATTTGTGGGCTTCATGCCCTGCATGGTGCAAAATTCAAGTCCTCAGAGGTCCATCCCCCCCAAACGAGACGTTGTCAAAGGAGAGTCTGAAGAGAACGGTGGGGGGCAAATGTGAGCACACTAGGATATGGTGGATTCGTGTCTAGAGGTAAAGCCGGGCGCCTACTCAGCGAAGCACAGGTTTACATCGCATTTTATCACTGAAGACTTGGAGAAAAGGACAAAATTAGAGTTTTGTTAGGACTGAGAACTGCAGGTCTGTAATTCTAAAGAATAGGAGTAAGAAGACAATTATTCACATGAGAAAATAATTTAGAGCACTGGGAAGTATCACTTATCGTTTCACACACGTGTACCTAGGAGCACTTTATAGAGGCAGTCCATATGGTAGTTAAGAACATCAACCCTGGGGTAAAACTACTGGAGTTTAAAAGCAGCTTTATCCTTGAACAATTGTCGCTGTGGGAAAGTTATTTAATGTTTCCTTGCCTTATTTTTCCTCATTTGTAAAATAGGAAGTACCTAGGATCACGATAAATGCTCTACTAATGTTTGCTATTGTAAGTGTTATTGTGGATACTACTATCATTCCAACATTCAGAGCAGGTATATAAAGTGAGAACTTAAAGTAGTCGACAAAATATACCATATAACATAAGATAGTGAAACTAATGTGTAGGAATGTAATTTGGCAAAGATTATGTATTAACCTTTAACTATCAAAATACTTTTATTATGTCCATCTTGCAAGAAAGAAACTAAATCCAGATACATTATGTAATTTGACTGAGGTCACATGGCTAATTTTAAACAGTCTAAATTCTAGGAACTATGGACCTAGTGTCCGTGCCCCTCTCTTTACTACCATTCAGTAGCCTCCATGGAATCCCATTTCTGACACCAACTAGGAAAATGCACAAAGCCCACATCCGACAGACTTAAACAATTTAAGTGTAAATAACTGTTCCCAGGATTAAGTGTGATTGTAAAAACTGTAAAGTGTAAAAGGTGTAACTGAAAAGAGGGAGGAAAGTTAATTCTTTATGTATGAAAAAAGACCATTGTCTTTTTTGGCTAGAACAGACAGATGGTGTCCTGTGGTAAAGTGAAATTTCTTAATACGGCTGACCTATCAATGTCTCTGTAATGCCAGCAAATGACTGGGTGGGGTTATACAAACAGGGTGTGTCAAACACGTCCAGAGGGGACTGGCCATTGGGTTGCCATTCGTCTGTCTACAAGAGAGCCATGTCAGGAGTGGGCACAACAATAGATTTGATGCACTGAACACTAATGACAGAAAGTATGATATGATGCACTGCGGAGAAATAAAAAAGTATCATTCATGAAGAAAGTAACAGGTCATTAAAATGTCAGGAAAAGAAGAAAGATTAGAATGGGTACCAGAAGAGACTCTGAAACTTTCTCTTAATTGTAGATTAGCGAAGGCATACTGAAGAAATGATGTAGTAAAAGAGCTAAACAGAACATTTCAAAGGACAGCTCAAGAATACAAAGAAAAATATCATAATGAAATGTGTAAACGTTTAGAAAACCAAACAGGAAGAAAGCCCTCAGAAAGAACAAGTTTGATATACCTTCAACTGAAAGAACTCAAGAAGAGACTTAAGCCTCGAATTGAAATACTGAAAGTTTCTATGGGCAGAATAATAAATGAGGTCGGAAGCATCGACAGAAGATGGAAGAACTAGTGGATATTGCATCATTCCAAGAAGGAGCATATGAGAAAAACCAATGGTACTGAAAGAAGAAATTCCAGCTGCACTGAGTGTATTAATCAAAACTAAGACTCCAGAATTGATGGAACATGAATTGAAGGGTTTCGGTAAACCGATAAGCCACTAAAAACTGATGAAGTACTCACCTGTCTATGCTAAGAAATTGGGAAGATGGCTACTTGGCCTGCTAACTAGAAAAGATCTCTATTTGCACCCACTCATTGGTGACCCAAAGAATGCACAAATTATAATATCACTCATATCACATGCAAGTAAAATTTGTTGACGTTCATCCAACGTTTGCAGCAGTATACTACAGCTGCCATTCAGGCCAGATTCAGAGCAGTACGTGGAACAAGGGAAATCACTGCTGATGTCAGATGGATCTTGGCTGAGAGCAGAGAACACAAGAAGGATATTTACTTGTGCTTTACTGACTATGCAAAGGCATTGATTGTGAGATAATAACAAGCCAAGGATAGCTTTGAAAAGAATGGAAATTCCAGAACACTTCAATGTGCTCATAAGGACCCTATACATAGGTCAAGAGGCAGTTGTGCAAACAGAACAAGGAAATACAGCATGATTTAAAATCAGGAAAGGTGTACCTCAGGACTATCTACTCTGACTACACTTATTCAACCTGTATGTTGAGAAAATCATCAGAGAAACTGGATTATATAAAAAAGAACATGGCATTAGGATTAGAAGAAGGCTTATTAAAGACCTGCAATATGTAGACGATACAACCGTGGTTTCTGAAAGTGAGGAAAAGCGCTTGCTGATTAAGATTAAGGATTGCAGTCTTTAGTATGGATTAAAACTCAATGTACCAGTGTACATCCTCTGGTATAGCCAGACTTGCAAGGTCGAATTCGAGTCATGGTAGTGGGAGCAGGGAGGAAACATTTAGGAACTAGAGGAAAGTTGTATTTCTCATCGTTGTTACATCGCACCCTGACTGGCTCTTCTCCTCCCTG